AATTCATTGGGTCAAAAAACTTGAAAATGTAATACAAGGTTCCCCATAAGTTTATATAATAGCAATTGGAAAATATTTAAAATACATAGGTTCCTATATTTTTTTTTTGAAATAATAGCAATTTAATTTATATAGTATAAAACTATAAAATGTCCTAGACAGACAAACCGTCTCCGCTTAGAATTGTTTTTCGTATACTATAGTATTAATTGAATATATATTTAATACCATCCATTACAGTAACCCACTTGTAACCTACTGTACAGCAGAACGACTTCCACTTACCCGCTTTTTTTTGTTTAACTAACAACTATGTTTTTTCAGTTTATGAGTAATATCATTATCGATTGCTTGCAAYAAACTTTGAAAATTTAACATCAGGTTTTTATATTTTTTCACAAAAAAATTAAAAACCTCAAATTAGTCAAAAAAATTTTTTAGAAGCATTCATAGCTCAAATTTTTATGAAATTCATCAAAATCACGACCATTTTAGGAAAACGTTATTAGTCTTCATATAAAATTCATAAAATATTTAATTAATATAATTTATTTGAGGTTTTAAAAATTAGGTACAAGATTTCTCATAACTCATAACTCTTAACTTTATTTACTGGAAATAAAAAAAATAAAGACTTGTATGTGTGCAAGCATGCGCGTGTTAAGTGAGACTTCTTCCGTATTTTTAATGATATATAGATTTTCTGAAAATAAACACACTCTCTCAGCAAAGTCTTCCATGACCTGATAGGATTACCGGTGTGTGGATTATCTGATAGGTTCAAGTTCATGATATAAAAATATTATTTGTTTGACTATTTTAATTTATTCTTTTTGTTTTATTTACTATCATTTCATATTTTCATCATAGATTATAGATTTTACACATAWTTTTTCTGTTAAGTTTTAAGTTCAAATTAAATAATCTTTATTGGAACTATTTGATGGTGCATACCAGCAAATGTATTAAAAATATAATAATAAAATATATTATTTTAATCATTATCATACACGTGATTATTAAATACCTAAGTATAAATGCAACTAACTAGGTATATTAAAACGGTTCCATCTCACTATTACACACTAATTATTAAATATCTAAATAGATAGGTAGATAGGTTACGTAATAATAATAATAATAATTATTATTATAATGATAATAATAATAATCAGATTTACGTATATAATTGATATTTTATTTATTTGTCATTGTCATGGAATTTTCGTGTTGTGAACATAATTTCGTTACAAATTTTCGGCGTTATACCCTCTGCAGTGAATATTTTATGAGTTGTTCAAGTTGAAATTTTGATGAAATATGAAATCCATTAAATAATTACAATAGTAAAATTTATTAATATAGTAAAATATACATTTTTAGATCACATAATATTATATTTCTATTAACCTTTTAGTCAATAGACAACCGACTTACCGTAAAAGGTGAATGAGTTCGTTGCATAAATAGGCGATAACATAAAATGTATTTAATGCTATTAAATGTTTTTTAAATGTCATTGTCTATACAAAACATTATAGCAAGCCTACTATAATATTTTAAAACGTTTAATTCCCATGAAAAATGTTTTTAACTATACAACAAAAAAT